TCTCTTCTCTGTGGTGCCCAGCAACAGGACAAGAGGCAATGGGCAGAAACTGAACCACAGGAAGTTCCATCTGAACCTGAGAAAAAACTTCTTCACTGTGAGGGTGACAGAGCATTGGAACAGGTTGCCCAGAGAGGTGGTGGAGTCTCCTTCGCTGGAGATATTCAAAACCCGTCTGGATGTGATCCTGGGCAATATGCTCTAGGTGACCCTGCTTGAACAGGGAGGTTGGACGAGATGATCTCCAGAGGTCCCATCCAACCTAAACGATTCTGTGATTCTGTGATTCTGTGATTTTGTATCTTGTGAATTTTATTTTACCCCCAGAAAATACGAGGCACTGATGTTCTTTACCCCTGAGGTGTAACTCAGTATCTCATGATCCTCACTCTCCTTTACAGTCTCAACTCCCTAGCTAACTTACATCTTCCATGATGCATTGTAGTTTTACATCTGGCAGAACTACAATTTCCACTTACCATCTGTTCATGCTGCTGCTTCTTGTTATGGTTATTCTGGGTTCTCTGTACATCAAGCTGAATATCTGTCTGATTTTCCTTTAGCTCTTCCATAGTCACTTGGAATGAATATTCTAATCCCTCTAGACTGCTGAATTCTTCCAAATCCACTTGTATTTCCTGGCCTTTAGCAAAGAGGCTCCATCATGACATGGGATACCTCCAATGATGTCAAAGCATCTCCAGGGATGTCCTGGAACAGAACAGGGAAAAGTACATGTTGGCAATGAAATAGGTGACTCATACGTAACAAAAGGAGTGATTCCGAGATGGAAGTAGGCAAACACACATAGGGCATACTGGTGCACATTCAAAAGTATTTAGGGACTTAACTCATACTGAATTCCCATCACATTCCTTGCCTAAGTATGAATGAAAAGTCCCACTGGATGTAGATCTGCAGGTAGATCTTGAGAAAATCTTGCTTGTAGACTTTTTAAGGTGAGAATGTGACAGTGCTTCCCTTTACAGTAACCAGTGGAACTGCCTAGAAGCCCCCAGGGAGGTAAGAATGGCATATCACACTTAAAATGTAATATAATCAATACCCCTCTGAAGTTCAAAGAAGGACAGCTTTTCTTTTGTGGGAATAAAACTTCACTGAAAATCTGCCCTAGACAGAGGAGTTTCTTACTGCCTCCAGTATAAGCAGATCACAACTTGCAGGTTAGAGTCAATCACTAGCTAGAGTTAATACTATCCTTTTAACAGACTGGAGCTAGGTACGCATTTCAGCACATGAACTTAGAGTTCAAACTCTTATTTCCAGGCCCACAGTATTTGCTTTACTTTATAAAAGTGATATAAGGCATAGATTTCACATTTGAAAAAAGATTTAGGCAAGTAAGACAATTCATTCATTTGTTATTGAGTTCAAAGGGCGAGAGCAGAAGAGAAAGAAAGTAAAGCAAGCTGAATACCATGGGCAGCAGATGCCCAAAGCCAGAAGCAGGTAATAGGCTAGATATAAGGCAACAACCTTTTCTTCACAGGCCTCCCATACAGAAAACTTGAAACCAGCTGTCCCAGTTCAAAGTCAAGAGCTGAATGCCAGGCTGCTTTAACAGCAGGAGATTCTGCCCTTGTCTGACTTCATAACTGCCCTGTTGCCACAACAAACCTCATGCTTTTTGTTGGCAAGGTCACATTCTGTCGTCTTCCTTGTGAGATGGCTGGGGCAGAATCGAGGCTCTTCAAGGGGACTGGGTTTAACTCCTCCTCTGTTACAGACCATCCTGTGTGGCCACTGCTTTCTCCCTTATAAATACACCTACGCTATGCAGTGAAGCTTTCTGCCAGAATCTGTGGCCCCCCAGCACATCTCTCTGCCAAAGCCAATAAGCTTTTCTGGGAGGCAGGTTTATTGAATCGGGTGAAGCACCATGATAACATACCTATCCCATTTTCAGGGACAGTTTCTCTGCAAGGCATCACACTGAACCCCGTGGATGTAGCTAGCCCAGGGACCTCTGTCCCATCCTCTATTCCTTACTGTAGATATGCCAGCATTTCAGTTTCCAATCTATAAACCAGAATCCCTTGCAGGGAGCGATTGTAAGCTTACCGTGATCTTGTGGAGGTGAATACAGTAAAGGATGTGTTTGTAGTACGATTATGTGGGCCCTTTCAGGTTCTTAGAGAAAACTTTTGTATTTACTGTTATTCAGGAGTAAGGGGACAAATTCTTCTACTGTTAGTAGTTTGTATACAGCACCTCTCAGAGGAGTATCTATCAATTAGAGATTACATCATGTAAATAAACACAACCATATCAATTCCTCTTTGTCCTGTTCCATATATCATACATATCAGTGCAAAATCAGGGTATTTACTTGATAGGTGATGAGTGGAGAGCTGGATGACAGATCCACTGAAGATAAGATGGACTAATTAAGTTATTGAGACTGTTAGGTCATCTATCAAGTGATCTGTCAGTTTACAGCTGGATTTTCAAATCCCAAGGCGCACTGAACGTAGTGTGACATGTGGAGGCCTGGACCGAGGCGTGAATAGTCATTACCTTTGACTAAGAATATAATACAGTTCTTAATTGCTTTTTGTGCTGATGATCCTTCGGGCCGAGTTAAACATAGGCCCAAAGTATCATATAAGCAGAAAATGAGCAAGAAGGATGTAGGAGATACGTACGTGTACATGTGTGTTCGTGTATTTACCTTACACTTCCTAAAGGTAACGTGCCTTAAGTAGACATTGAAATGGAACTGCGGCAGTCTTTCTGCTTTCGCTTTTATGGCAGTTAAGTTTCCTGAATCCCTGCAGCACAATGCAGATATCATAATGGCTTAAATATGCTTTCTAATAATATATTTATTCAGACAGTCTCAAGACATTCTCAAGAGAGTATTTCCCCATAAATCTAATGGAAGAACTATAAAAAGGATTTTCATCTCTGTCCAGGAATCAAATATTGCAGTGCAGTTAGGAAATCAATCTTTTTTTGCTGAATGACTTAACTGGCAAGTGGGAGGCATGAGAAACTGATTGTTAGGCATGTATTACCCTGAAATACACAGTAAACCTCCTACAGTAAACAGCTACTTGCAAAGCTATTCATTCTCCATGTACCCACCACCTTTCAATCTTTCACAACCAGATCCATTAGATGCTACTTCAAAGAGCTGTGAAGTTCTCAGCATCTCACAGGATGTTGCTGTTGATTTATTGTTTTGTAATATTTGCCTTCACATTCACCAAGGAGGAAGCTAATGTCATTTCCTGTCACTCCCCAGAAGTGGAGGCTGCTACTTCCATCTTCAACTATTGATCTGCTTTGCTCTGCTTTGCTTTCCTCTTATCTTTCCAAACTTGCCGTCACTTTGGCAGCAGAGCTGACGTCAACACATAGCAGGAAGGTACACTGTTGCTGTCATTTGTGCTGCAGTTATTGCCACGCATTCCAAAATTATGCTATCTTTCACTTCCTTCGTGATAGGACTTTTCCACCGTCACAAGGACATGGTAGGGTATATAACATTTAGGAGAAGTGCATATATTTAGATGGTGAAAGCTGGTCATGTTTGATTTAAAAGGTCTGCCTTTATTTTTGAAGATCACTTCTGTAGAAAGTCTAGCGTATGTCATATGGGCATCTATGTTGGAGGGCAAATTTAGAGCAGGTTGTTAGTAACAGAGATGGTGAGCAGCTGTAAAGAATTCCAAAGGAAGAGATCTGACGCAAGTGAACTGGAACCAGCTTCTGTAATGTGCCCAGAGTGGAACTGGGGCCATGCTCAGCTGCATAAGGATAACTTCAAGGACGGAGCTGTGTGCAATTGTGCCACTTCAGCAGGCGTATGCCACTGAACGTGTACCATGTGCTTCCCTCTGTTCAAAATCAATTTTTATTTGCTAGAGAGATCAGTGGAGGTGAAGCAATGGCTTAGTCCCCTTCTTTTTGAGAAAGGATTTTTGCTCTAGGAAGTTGTCTTTGTGCTCATGGTGAGTAAATATAGTATACATTCTACGCAGATTTCTTTTGCACAGTGGAGAACCGTAGGCCTGATCGCATCAGCACTGACTGGCCACTTGCATGATTGCATCTCCCTTCCCTCACTCCCTTCGCATCTGCATAGGATGACAAAATTACTGTGCCAGCACAAAAACCTATTCACCCAACCTCATCAGCTTACAAACTGCAGGGTTTGGAGATCTGTGGAGCGCAACAGGCAATGGACAATTCCAAAAACTATTTGGAAACAAGATCCGTGCACCAGTCAGGCCAGAAATCACAGGAGGTGAAGGAAACTGAGAATGACTGCACAGATCACTGGATTTCAAGGAGATTTTGAGGCTGTTTCATGTTCACTTCCACCTAGTTTAGGCTCACTAAAATTAGATCAAATTAGAAGTACACTGTATATACTGAAGCATATTTCAGAAACATTAACAGGCAGCTGACTGTTATTGTGATTATCCTTTGATACTCTTATCTATTTAATAAGAGGTTTTTTTGTGGGTTCTCTACATGCTTACCAAGGAATAACTAACACATGAGAAAAAAAAATCCATTTTTTAAAAATATCACAGACTAAAAATTCCCTGGAGGGTACAACTGAGGCTGAAATTGATACCTAGTACTGCAGCAGGTAGGGAGAAACTGAATAAAACTCTTATCCAATACAAGGAAACCAAAAAATAATCAAGTAAAATTTGCTGCCTAATAAGCGTAGCAGTCTCTAGACTGGCAGACTCTAGGCTATGTTTTAAAACTCAGCAACATACAGAATAAACAAAAAAGTAAATACAGGAGTCGACTCATTTGGGAAATGCACACACTTTTTGTCAATCAGCTCATCAACATCATCCTGCAAAGATGTGAGCATTTACAGCACCCATCTATTTCTTTGTTAGCAGAGCTCACAGCAGGAGGAGATGCACTGCTAAATAGCAGTGATGAGGGGAACGACTGAAGTCTGGGACTGTCACTGCAAAATGTGGTGCACGAACACACGCTGACAGGCAGGGATAGCAGAGGGGTGCTAACTTTGGGAACAAGAATCAGCTCTCACTGGGCCTAGGGAGGAAGGAGAATTCCTGGATTTGTGCGCTGCTGATGTAAAGGGAAGACTCTTTTCCACTTGCTAGCTTCATCTGTTTTCTGCATGTGCTTAAAGGCAAGACTATACATTTACAAGCAAGACTGTACATTTTACACAGGGGTAATGCTTTTGTGTTTTGGTGATCACATATTTACCAGGATTTCTCAGGGGTGTAATAGCAGCTATGGGATCTACCCTTGCATGCACGAGAACTCTGCCTGATCACACAAGTGGCAACATGGATTTGGTACTTTTAGTGCCCACACAAATCACAGAATGGCAGAACCATGCTTAGCTCCTGCTGCCCATATTCTACTTTTTGGTATTTGCTGATTGTCTACTGTGTTGACACACAGAACACACAAGCTCCACGCAACAGGACAGCACGAGGCCCTTACAGGGGACATTAGCAACATAGAGTATTGCTGATGAGAGGACAGAGATAGTGTGCTCATAGCATATAGGGGCCTACCCGATATTGGAGGGGTTTGAGGCTGACTCCTTTGCCTCCAGTTTCTAACTGGTATTTGCATTTTCTCCACAGGAGTGTGACTGCTGTCTGTGACTCTCCTCTTGTCCTAGCTTCATTTCTTTCTGTGGTCTCATGTCTTCCTTTTTGATAGGAAAGACTATT